AATACATTTCATTTTCAAAGTGTAATAGAATCAGCTGTTAAAGTATATATACATCTTCTGGGGGACACCCTGTATTTAGAACATCCTTTCATGTCATTAAATATCCCTTCATCCCTTCTTGGTATTTTTATTGTATGGCTGTACCATGGTTATTACCTTTGAAAAATTACTATTATAGCAATATGTGATGAATGTCTTAGCTAAATTTTTTACACATTCCTTGACATTTCATTTGAGTAACTGTTCTAGAAATATAATTTCTGAATCAAAAGGTGAAACATGTTCTTTCACTGTGCATGAGAGAGCCTAATATTCCCATTCTTTCCTTCACTGAGTACATTTTACAAATCCTCAATTGTATAGGTAGGGAAAACCATCTCATCATTTTAATTTGCATTTCTTTGATAACTGTCAAGGTTGAACATTTCCTTACATGTTATTTACTGATCATATTTCTCCCTTTTTATTGGTTTTATCTTTCTGTTCTTTGCTTATTTTCTGTCAGAATAATAATCTTTATCTTATTAATTGTAAGAACTCTTACTAAATTAGCTCAGTTAACTCTCTGTCTTTTATGTGGTAAATACTGTCCTGGTTTTGTCCTTTATGGTCTTCAAGGATAGTTCAGAATGTCTTTTGATGAAAAGGAATTTTCAGGTTTTACATACATTTTCTTCCTTTATAATTTTTGCCACCAGAAATTAACAAGGCCTTCTTTACTCCAAGATCATTTAATACTTGTATTTTCTTTCCTGTCGTAGTTTTTGGAGTGTGACATTTCTTCAAAGTCTACCACAAGGGGGATTTGGCTGTGGCCTTTAGAAAAACAACAGTACAGCCTCACTAAATGCAGACTGGTCATTGGGTAAAACTACTAAGAGTATCCAGGGAAGAGGAAGAGAGAGATCTTATATGTTTATTCTTCACCAATTACTTATACTGCATCCAGTAGCTTTGTTAACCAGCTCTTTCAGAGAAAGAAGTTTAAAATTGTGTGTGTGTGTAGGGGGGAGTTAGCATAAGGTTTATGTTTTCATATTAAACCTCTTGGATTTGATGACTCTCCTCACCTGGCCAGAACAGAAGCTTCCAATGGCAAAGACCTTCGTTTTGTTCACATGGTACATAGCATGCACCCGATAGATACGTGTTGGAGGAGCTGATATTTAGTCAAGTAGAGTTGTGTGCGGGCTGTGTGTTGGGCAGGAGAGCCAGGGAAATGAGTTCTGGGCTTCACACACACACACACACACACATACACACACATACACACACATACACACACAAAACCTCCAAATGGAGGCAGTCAGTAAATTTCAGTTTTACTTTTTAGTTGACGGTAGAGATACTGATCTGAGTGTAAAGGTGAAAGTGCCTCAAACCTGGCACAGTAGGATATGGTGCCGAATACTGGAAACTATTCAGAGAAGAAAATTCGGTTGGGCAGATTTTAAGCAAAAACAGTGGCATCCACCCATCAAGAGAAATAAGAGACACCACTCTACTCCACTCCATGCTATGGCATTTGTCCAAAGCAATAACAATCAGATCTGGCTTTATTTGAACATAACAAGGAAGAAACAGTTTTCAGGAAGATTCATTTTCACTGTGGGAAGGGGAAGAGAAGCATTCTGTGTAATAACAGAAAAATCAGTTATTTTTCAATCAGATGAAGTGTCCTCATAAATTCAAGGCAGAGAATGCCATGTGATATGCCTTCATGGAAACGAGGACCACAGGAAAAGAGTTTAGGATCCTACTTCCAAGGTTGCTGTTGGGAAGAGAGATTTTCCAGGAGTGGAACTCTGCCCCTGTTTGTGTGGGTTTGTTAGCCTACATCGTGGTATGTAATGAATGCACCTCATCCTGCCCAATTTGCCTCTCCCAAACCCCATCTTGTCCAACCTGCCTCCCAGTTGGCTATGATTTTTTAAATAACACACTAAAATCCTCTCTTTGCAGCATAATAACAAACAAACCCCAAACAATCCTTCTTACTGGCAAAAATCCACAATATATTACATGTGTAATGTAATATATTTATACATATTAACAAGGGAATGACCAAGAAAGTAGAAAGATGAAGACTTTTGACAAAATTTAAAGTTACATCCTAATGAGAAAGTCTTTAATCAATATGAAGATTGGAAAGTCAGCTCCTGAAAAAAGATCTAAGGAGAGTATGGAAGTTGGAAAGATGGTCTTCAAGTCTGTATAAGGGCCAGGGAGATGAGCACCCAGGAAAAATTTGTGCACCACAATTTCTTCCACAACCCTTAAAGTCTGTTTACAATATTAAAAAGGTGAATAACTAGGAAGGCATCTACTCTGTATAAACCTTATGTGCTGGAATTCAAACTGACATGCCCCGTGTACACTGGCCTTAGGGAATGACACAAGATTCCCGAGAAGCACTGCGCCCAGGGGATGCCCTCACTCTGTTCTCTGCCAGCACACAGGCACCAGCATGCTGGTGTCTGAGGGCCGAAGCTGCAGCCCTTCCAGGTGTGTTCTCACACCCTGGCAAAGACAGAAGTTCAAGGGCAGCAGTTCACTGACTGTCAGGTTAGCCCTTTTAAAGGAGTCAAACTGCCAACCCCTGGTGCCATGGGGGCCATGCCTGTGTTTTTTAGAGGTGTCGTCTCTGATTGACTCCAAAGGAGCTGTCAATGCCTGGGATCCAAGGTGCCCTGGCACTTTCACAGAAATCATACTGAACCTCAGAACGCTGCGACCACCCCCTATCCCGACACCTCCCAAACTGAAGTGTCCCATCAGCTAGCTAGGGCTTGGGAAGGAAGGAGAGTTATTACAGTGTACCTCCAGGGAAGTGGAAAGTGCACAATTCGAAGGTCTCTAACTTTCTAGGAACAAATCGCCCTAAAAAATCAATCATTCCCACAAAAATATTTCCTACATTCTAACTTACATACTCTAATTGATGAGATGATTCTCTAGTTTTATTTGTGCCAAGAAGATCTGTTTCCTTCCCTAGTCTTTGTTGAATGCCAAGAAAATCACAAGGAAAAATGCTGACCTGTGATGGTTACACATCATACTTAATCACCACTTTAAGTTAAAATACTGTAATATAAAATAACGTACTCGCTGGGCCACTCGGGCAGAACATAACTTCACAAGCCACAAACACACCTACTGAGACACTTGAAATGGCTCAGGAGTCTGGTTCCCAGCTGTGTGGCAAGAGCCAAACCATGACATCAAGTCTTGAGTTGCCCTGGAGAAATGTAGGGCAGGGCTGTCATACTACATCGTGCTTGCTAATCAGAGCCTTCCCAAGAGTTGTCTTAGTTTCTCAGTACACCAAACTCTAGCAGAAGTCGTGGCCACAATGATGAAACTCCTCTCATTCACAACCTCCAATTATGATCTTCCAATATTCCAACAGCTCACTTCTCAAAGGCTGCTTAAAGTAAGTATGTGAGAGAGAGAGAGAGAGAGAGAGAACGTTTCCGTCTCTTTGGCTTGGCTCAGTTAAATGGAAACTTCTCGAAAAATAATTGTTTATTTTTTCCTGGTCTCTTCAGATGGGGTAAAGCAGCAGACACTGAGTAGGCCAAACAAATGGCTAGGAGAAAAATTTCCCCTTGAAAGGGGTACTTAGTAAAAGAATCTCAATAAGGTAAATACGCTTTCTAAAAGCCTAGGGGTTCCATAATACCTTTGTAAGAGCAAATCATGTAAAAGCACTGTCCAACTCTCACAACCAGAGGTAAGGTGATAAGGTAGCTCTTTTGCAGGCCTCCGAAATGTCTCTCCCTGATTTAAATCCTTCACTCGCTCTCAGAACGGAACCCCTCCCTCCTTCTCCAGCTCCTATGTGCCATCTTCCACCAGTGGTAGTTCTGAACCAGGGCTGTTTTTGTCCCCGCAAGGGGGACACTTTTGGTTATCACAACTGATGTAAGGCGAGGGGGATGCTACTAAACGTACTCCCGTGCAGAACACAGCCTCTCAGACACGGAGGATTACGTGGTCCTAATGTCTGCAGTGCTGAGGCTGAGACATTTTGCCCCAGTTGTTCTGCCCTCTTTGTTGTTCTCTAAACACACCAGACTTTCATATGCTTCTGACCCTAAACAGGTTGTTTCCTTTACCTGCCCTACTTCCAAGTCCAAAGAAATGACTATTTATCATCCAGGATCCAATTCAAAATGTCACCTCCTCTATACTGCCCTTTCCAGGTCCTCAGGAATCAGATGTGCCTTCTTCTGCACCTCGAGCTTCTGGTACATGCTGCATTAGAACACCAGCCACTCTGCCCCCAAATGACCTGTCACCTGCTGAAGGCCCCATTCAGCGTTCGCCTCCAGAGTGCCCACCTGGTACTCAATCACTGCTTGCCGAACCAATCAGGGAATTAATAGAAATGTTGCAGAGGCACCGAAGACTCTTTAGCAACAATGACTAAGGGATAACAGTGTCCCCAATATATATATATAAAAAAACAACCCAGCAAATATTTAATCAAATGCTTGCAATGTGGACAGGCACATATATTAAGCACTGGTGCACATATGAACTCATTTCATAAATACAACAGGGAGGTAGGAGCCATTATCATCAATATTTTGCAAATGGGGAAACTGAGGCACAGAGACCCATAACACTTGTCCAAGGTCACTGAAGCTAGCATCTGAAAGAGCTGATCTTTAAACACAGGTAGTTTCATTTCAGAGTCTTAATCTTCCAATATTCATGTCAAGACAGTAATACTAATAACCAATATTTCGCAACTTAGAGGCCACGGGCAAACACAAGTGACACCTCCAGAGGACTGTACCACCATAGAGTGGCCACCAGCTCCTATGACCCTGGACTGTACGCATTGCTTTCTCAGGTCTCACACTCCCCAAACTCTGGAATGCTTTGGGCAAGAGAGGTAATCTCCTCACAACATAGAAAGACACCATGTATCCAGAAAACATCATGGTACCACAAAGAAGACACAAGTGATGATTCCTCAAAGAACATCTTACCTTGTTCATGCTGCAGGGCCTGAAGTGAGGGATCAGGCATGTCACAAGGCGAGGCTGTCCCTGAAGATTCTCCTTGTTCCCGTAGACCTCCCTTCCTGAAGCAGGCAGCTGCACTGCGAACACAGACAAAGGAGATCCATAAGCTGGTGCCCAGAAAGGCACAGAGCAGTCCTGTGTCCAGTGAGACTTTCTGCCGTGATGGCAATGCTCCATGACCACTATGGCCACAGGTGGCCACCGAGCACTGGAAATGTGGCTAGTGCACAGGGGAACGGAATCGATTCTACGGAATCTTAATGAACTTTAAAGGTAAACAGCCACATGTAGTTAGTGGCTACCATATTGGATGGTGCAGGTCTACAGAGTCAAATCAAGAGTCTTAAGGCCACAGATACTGAGCATACCAGTGGCCAAGGAAAACCTGCATATTATATGCACAGAGAGACCGCAGATACACAGAGACAAGAACACTCATTCATTCAATAACTTTTTTCTGAGTACTTATTAGGTGTGGGCACTGCCAGAGAAGTCAGCTATTTAAGAGTTTGTAGTTCAGGCTTTGACTTCCTTAGGAAGGGAAAGGATCTAGTATGTGAGCAGCACCTACTGTGTACCTTGACCTCAATGCCTTCCCTGCTGCCCACAAAACCTACAGGAACAGCCAGGTATTTGCTGGAGCCTGACTGTATCGTTGCCAGGATGAACAGATAACAGAATCTACCACAGAGCTCCTTGGGAGGCAGCATCCCATCAGGCAAATCAAGGGGTCAGTTTTCCAAGGGCCAAGTGAACCAGACAATCCAGCTCCCTCTCAAATGGAATAAGGGTCCACGTTTTTATCCATGTTGTTGGTTCATTAGGTAGGTTTTTTAATTTACTTGAATTAAATTTTAGGGTAAAACAGTTATTGTATGTGTTAGGGTCGCCGAAGGAGGAACACACGAGGCCAAAGTGGTAGAGAAATTCTCTGGGTGGGTCCTGAGGGAAAGATAATGGTCTTAGCAAGTGGAATGTGGTCTAAGCCAAAGGGCGTGTTGGGTGAAGTGGTCTAAAGGTCAGTTTCCAGGGGAGGGGCAATTTATTCCATTATTTGATCAGACCTGACAGTATGATTCCAGGGTTCTTAATTTGTCAAACATTAAGGAAAATAATTAATACAATAATAAATAAAAATATCTTTGACTACATAACTAGACTTGTAGCCAATTTTGCTGAAAAATATTTTATGGTTGGATTTGAGAGGAGAATATAACACTATAAGGTTCCTTATAATCACCTTATTACTGTTATTTTTTTAAGACTGCATCTATCTGAACCTTTCCATAAACACTGGAATTGGAGGTTTGAATGGAACTACAGTGCTTTAAAAAATCTATTCTTTTTAATTATAATATAATAACAATATTGAAAATGTTCAACAGGAAAAGGACAAAAGACTCATAATCCCAATGGCTCACCATAATCACCTCTAGCTTTTAGCAATCATCTTTGCTCTGTTGGAGAACGGTTTGAGGCCCTTGCACATCTGCTAACGGAGTCAAGGACACAGAGAGGTCAAAGATATTAATATCTTTCATCCTTAAGAAAATAATTTTGCAGTTTAGATTTTCAAAAGATAAACTTCTACTCTGCACATTACTATTCTGTGAGCATATTATTATTGAATTCCTTTTATAAAGAAGACAGGGACAGAAAATTACAGGTCACTCCCTGGCTATTTGAGACACATAGAATCCAAAGAAAATACCTCATTTAGTCATAGGAATAACATTTTTAACAATGATGTACAACATGGGAGAGACCCTGGAATTTCACTTTGTAGCTTAAATACATCTAAACACCCCTTTATGCAAATGATGCCATTGTTTCAAAATCAAGAAAATTCAATATCTAACTCTAACCAAACTTAAAATTGACTGACAAGTATGTTTTTACTCTTAATTTTCCAGAAGCAGATGCTAATGAATTTCTGCATTTTAAAGTAGAACTTCATAAATACTGTTTCCTTTTAAATATATGTATTTGGTTCACTTAAAAGCTATGGCCCAGCAAGTAACTGGGAAGTTTGTCCAAAAGCCTTGTAGAGATGCCTTATGTCAGAATTCCATTCAAATGTACACATTGGTATCAACACAGGAAAGGTGGGCACACGAAGATAATAATAAACAGACAAGAATTCTTGGAATAACTTCCCCAAGGAAATTCCACCCAGCTCCAGTGATGCCACAATCCCCATGCCCTCAGCACATGGGTATATAGATTGCACTAAACTAATTATGGATCCTTCTCCTTGCCCCTCCACACCACACCAAGTGTTCTTAGGTCATTTTTATGTTTGTTGGTCCAATGTCAAAGTCAAAACTGAAAAACTCAGACTAATATTGAGGGCAATATTAGGTCACTTATAAATTTCTCAATATATATTACGAATAGATTTTTTTCTTTGCTCTCACAGAGCCTAAGATGATGTAGATGCTTCATGTAGGTCTTCAAAACAATGTGGACTATCATTGCAGATTGCCTTCTGGTTTCTTTTTAAAAGCAAATCTTTTAATGTCCAGGATGGTAAAACTTTAAAAGAATATTAATATCTTACAGCTGTACAGGGCTCGAAATTGTATAATGCACTTTATCAATTAGTACTGATATCAATCTGAGTGGTAGTTTTCTTAATTAAGAAGCTAGATACATGGAGGGGAGCAAAAGGGAGAAAATGAGATACATCTGTAATACTGTCAACAATAAAATTAAAAATAGGGATAATAAGCTAGTTTTAGAATAACAAACTTTTGTTCCCGCATACAAACTTATAGCTCATAGATCAGTTTTCATGCCTTTTTAAATACACAGTAACTTTTCTTTTCAATTCTACATTAAAGTGTAATTTTTTTGATGTTACTTTAAGTTAATCTAAGGGACTCAAATTTAAATATAAATGTTTATGGTACTCTGCAAATAACCAAAGTGACAATCAGATTATTGAAATTTCTGTACAGGGCTAAATTTCTATGTACATATAAAATGGTAACCATGTAAAAGTTTCTTTTGATGCATAATTCTTACGGGCAGTAGGCATTTTCAGTCATTAAAATGTAAAAAGAGGGGAAAAATCCTGCAAAGATACAAAAAAAAGAGCTAGATACAGAGAGGAAAAAGAATTCTTAGTCATGCTGGAATAGACACTGGGCTAGAAATGACTTCAAGATACTATAGAATTAAAGTATGTACAAAGACTACACATAAAAAACCTTTCTCTCTCTCTCTCTCTCTCTCTCTCTCTCTCTCTCTCTCACACACACACACACACACACACACACACACACACACTCAAAGACAACCATTAACAGAAATACCTCAGTGAACAGATGACAGTTTTAGAAAATGGGTCAGTTCGCTTCTGGACAGCAACCTAAAAGACTGGCCTTGTTTAGCCAAGTTCTTTCAATCTCCTTTGAAACAGACAGAACCTGGTTGTTTTGCAGCCAATTCAGTTTATGAAGAAGCTTCCGGAAATCCACAGCTTAAAAAAGTAGACTGTGTGTGTGGCGGGGAATAGGAGCAGGCAGGGAGAGGTCAATGGGGGGGGGGGTGTAAGAATAAAAATGTATGAGAAGTGCAAATCAAAAATGTCAGAATGTCATTTTCACTGAAAGCTATACATGATTAAAAACAATTACAATATAGCACACACACACACACACACACACACACTCACACATAGACACACACACGGAAACTGCATCTTAAAAATAAAGCATTAAGGAAAAAGATATCTGAGTTACCATGATGTAATTAAGGAAGCTTTTCTTATTATTCTGTTTTTCAGTGTTTCTTTTTAATCGTCTATGAAGTTGAATTCTTCTGATACTAAACAAAAACACAAGAAGTACTGACGCCTTTAAAGGGTGTCTGGAGAAAGTCAACCCACACAAGCTAACATGTGACTTCCACTCAGTTGGTCCTAGCAGATTTGGTTCAATGGGCAATGAAGCCTGTGGTCAAATCAACCTCACACTTCTGAAAGATTAATGAAACGTAATTCATGCAGGAATGTGGAGACAGGGTAAGTGTAAGAAGAGATCATCAAGAGAATGAAAAGAAAAGATAAAGGCTACAAAGAAAGGAGAAAACTAAAGGGCAGATAAGTAAACAGATACCTAGAGACAGTTCAGTGCTGTGGCCAAATGCCCCTCAGCCGCAAGGTCCTCACTATGGAAGGGATCGAGAGATTCAGGCTCCTGGTGACAACACCACATCCTATGGCTTCTTTATATTATACACTTCCATGGACCAGGTGTCAGCAAGTGGGAGCTGGAGTAAAGTTAAGACTGGGCCTACCTGTTTCACCACTATTTATTTACCACCAACCTCCACCTACCACAGAGAAGTCTATTTTACCTGGATCACTGCTAATGTGGTACAGAGGTATAAGCCAACTTTATTCTCCTCCCTCTAAAGAGAAGCTTAAAGCTGTCACAGAGCTGTTTTATTTGTGTGTGTGGATTGTATTATTTCTTGGCCCTTGAAAATGCAACTAATACCTATTGCCAATATAAAATGAAATATAATGAGTTGGGCTTTTTCCCCACTCCAAATCCCTCATCCCCTTCCAAGATGTTCATTCTAGAAGTCTGTTGTAATACAATTCAAAGTAGGTAGCTTAGGCAGTCCTATGGGGAAAAAGCCAACAAGAGTGGGCAGGTCACTCCTCACAGTGTTAAAGGTCTTTTAGATATAATGCATCCTGAGGTCACTCCCCTCCCCACCACCAAATCCAGCAGCCTAAGCAGAGGACTCAAGAGTTTGTGGAGAAAAAATAAAGTTATAAACAGACAAAAAGGCTTTGAAGAGAAAGGGAGAGAAGACAAGAGGACAAGAGTTTAGAAGAAATTCTCCAAATCAAGGACTTAGGAGCTTAGAAAATCAGATGAACAGATGAAAGAACCTTAATGTCCTCCACCCTGTTTTCATGGGTTGGAGTAATTCATGTGTCCCTGAAGTACTGACAACCCTCACCTGGAATCCTTGTGCAAGACCGGATAAATGTAAGACTATTTAATTACTGACAGGCCAATCCCTCCCTTCCACAATAAGGGGCATGCTGCTCCTTATTAAATGATCCTGTCCCCAACCCAAAATGCACATAACCTCTCCAAGTGATGGCTCCTTCCTTTCTTTCTGAAGAAGAGCAGGAGGGACCGGAGCAGCTCTTTCTCTATCCTCAAAGTTGCAGCAGACGTGTGGCTCTGGTTCTTCAGGACCTCTGTGTTCTGACCATCCCCACATATGGCTGCAAACCCACCATAACATGGTTCTGCCCCTAGAGACTGGATGATATTTGCCATTGGCCTTGCTCCCCATGCTCTGCTCCCCATGGAAAACACACAGCCTAAGCCAGAAAGATGAGAGTGTCTTCCCATCAAGCATAATCCACAGCCTTCTTTCCCAAGGGTAGGTTAGGCAATTTGAAAATTAATATTCTGCGTTTAACTAGCATATGAATTATGGTTCAACAGGAAATTGTGAAAAGGAAGAGGAAATGAGAGGACTGTAAATTATAGAGAGACATACTGTTGGTACACAAAAAAATTTGCCCTGAGAGCCTGATGGGGACGAATTGAGGCCAGTGAAGGGCCAATAGTGCCAAGCAGTCAAGAGTCCATTGCCTTCATGTCACCACTTCTGTCACACACCCTTAAGTTTCCCTTACTGGTCAAATCATAAGTCAGGATATATAACATTTAGACTCAAGGATATCACTCTTAAAAAGGTCAATATTGGTCTCCCAGTGATTAAGAATATCTTAATTAAAGGCACAATAGAGAAGAGCTGCCAAGAGGTTACCCAGCTCAGCCTATTTCTCTTGCCTGGCTATCTAAACCAGGGGACACAAATTCAGATGCCTACAGTGGTCAAAAAAGAATGAGATGAGTGAATGGTCAGGCCAGAGAAGACAGTGCAGAGTGGAGGGGCCTGGAGCATCGGGGAAGTAGGAATATCAGAGCTTCTTGTATTCAAGAGAGCCAGAGAATATGTAAA